TAATGCGAGTTCAATTGAATTTTAATTTATAATTAGTTGGACTGCCTAAATTAGGTAGCAGTGCACACAGAACCATTTATGCCAAAGGCGGCATGCACATTTAAAATGCAAATATAAATGCAATAATGTAAGAGCAGCGCTCGCTGAGCACCACAAATGCATAAACAATTTTACATACAAATTTTTTTAGGACTTATTTAGACAGAATTGATTTTTCATTTAATTGTGAAATAAATTTCACAATTGAATTTTAAAACGATTTAGTTATGTCAAAATTAGGCATATATTAAAATTTATTTATTAATGTCAAACTAAAAGAGCATTAATTAAAAGTGATTTTAAAGTGATTTTATGTTTTTTTTTTACAATTAAAGTTATTTGTAGTTTCTGCTAAAGTAATTTGTTTCATTATCAATGGTTTGTTGATTATTAATTAGCAACATTTTTGTACTTTAATTAAAATACACTAATTATTAAAATTTTTCAAATAAATTTGCGTGCAACGGTGCGTATGAGTGATGTGTGAAAATTCGTTTGGCATGACAAAATTGTTTGTGTTTTGTTATGTGTGGGTAAGAAATGCTTTGTTGTGAAATGATTTAAAATTTTAATTTAATCTCATTAAGCGAGCTTTTCCGCAATGAGTTGAGTTTATAAAAATAGCAGAAAAAAAAATAAATATATTAAAACACTGCCAAGCCACATTATCGCCTTACCTATTTTTTTAATAAATCTTCTCTTATGGTATGTTTACGCAGAATTCCTTGCTGCTTAACTAAGCAGAAGTGTGATCGTATGCGCAAAAAATACCACAAACTTCGTCCTTTGAATTTATAATGTTTAAATAAAATGCAGCTCACATTCGCATTTATGCAGCTAGTTTTGTTAACGTGCTCTATGCTTTTTATTATTTATTTTAGCGCATTTTTGCATTACACGTACTGTTGCGTGTTTTTTATATGCTTACAATTTTAATTATGATATTAAAATTTAAAATAAGCACAACAATATAGCAGAAATGAAAAAAAAAATTAACAAAAATGTAGTCTAAACCATAATATTATTTTTTTATTTTAATTAATAATTCTGAAGTGTTTCAACATTATTTATATAACTATTTTATTTATTTTAACTAAAAGTGAATTTAAATAGGTTTTTTTCTGATCCCATTGAAAGCACACATCAAAAGGATTGCATAAAATCTATTTTTACTATACTCTACTAAAGAGACTCTATTAATGCATGCTTTTAATTAGTATATAAATCTTAATGCATTGCAATTGCGGTATTTTTTATTCAAATTTATTTTCCTAAAAGAAACTTTTTATATATAAATAGTAGTATAATCATAACTTTGCTAGGCAGAAAAGAGTTCTTTATATATTCGCATTTATTTATACATGAATGAAAAGTGAAATAATATATGCTATCGTCATAATAAGCAAAAGTTGTAATTAATGTAAATATAAGAGTCCTATAAACTCTTAATATAATATATGCTATCGTCATAATAAGCAAAAGTAAAAATAAATATACCATAAATATAAATATAAATATAACAGTCCTATAAACACTTGAAACTAGTTTAATATTGTTAAATCTTTCATAGTATGTTTATAATTAAAACATTATATTTCATGATTTTATAATTTATTTTTTAAAACCCAAAATTGTATTTCTTGTTTTTATTTTTGAATTAATTTGACAAAGCTAATTAATCAATTGTTTAAATATGTACAAGTTTTTAAATTATCTCTAAAAATTTTATTTAATTGTTACCAATCATCTTTGAGGTACTGACTATAGACTTTAGTCGAAATATTTAATATAAAATATTAAATAAAATTTTTAAAAATAATTTAAAATATTTAAAATTTTAACTATATTATTTGCTTTTATACATATGTTAAAAGTAATTATTTTTTTAATAAATTAATAACCAATTTTTATTTTTATTATTTTTTTATAATATTATTTACAAAGAAATATATAAAAATACTATTATTTGTAATATTAGTACCACATTTCTCTATTAAATCAGAATAACTTATTTGTTTTCTTTTATTAGAAACTACTTTCCTTTATAAAAGAGAATATAGGCGTACAAAACTTGTAGGCAGTCAATATTATTTTCTTTCATTATTCGAATATTTCTAACACTAAAACTATGCTACAAAAATTTCAATTTATGTACTCCGTCTTCTATTCTAGCAAGAGTAGGAGAAATGCGAGAATAAAAAAAAAAGCTTGTGGCAAAGTTTGAACAGAAACGAAAAACGCTTTAAACAGAAGAAAAACTTTAATGTACTTGAATAAAAAATAAAAAAAAATTCAAAGGGAACCGTAGACAGTCTTTTAAATTTTAAGAAAGTAAAAAAATTTAAGAAACAAAAATGCAACTTGTGAAAAACAGTTTTGGTTGTTACATGACATCTTCAGTGGTTTTACACGAGTACAAAAAATTTTGTCACAAGTTCTTAAAAGTTTTTCTATTCCAAAAGAATGATGATGACTAAACTAAAGCTCTGAATATCAAGTTTTATGATGTTTTTAATAATTTTGTTTTATATAAAAAAAATTTTTTTTTACTTAAATTTTCTTTAACTTTTAAAAAGTGTGGTTTTGTTTTACAAACCAGCGCTCAACTTCATTTGTTGTTAATTTTTTGTTGGACAAATGCAAATCATTTTGGTTACTTCAGTTTGCCTAAAATTTTACTTGGCGAAAACAAAAACGCCAAAATAAAAATCAAAATTCTTAAAAATAAAAATTTGCAAAAAAACCGCAGAGTAAATGAAAAAGAAGAGCAGATACAAATAAAAATAAAAAACAAAAAAAAACAAAAAAAAAACCAAAAAAGAACTTTAAAGAAAAACCAAACAAAAAAACCCAAAGCAAACAAAGACTGAAGAAAAAATGCAAACAAAAGAAAGCAGGGAGAAAAAGAGACTAAAATTATTTCTAGCAGCCAGAAATCATTAAATGTCGAAAAGCTTTTAGGCGCAAAGCATATGATTTTTAAGTGCTTACATAATTTAAATTTTTAAGAGGCTACTAAATCTGTTAAAATATGTGTAACTGAAACAAAAAAAAATATAAAATAAAAACATTTATATCTTTTATATATTATACTTTTCTTCATTTACTGCTTACTACATAAATATTATTTAATAATATTTTTAACATGGATACAAATAACGATTTTGAGTCCACAATTCAACTTCAAAAATTATAGTTACCAAGTAAAACCATATACAAACCAATAAATTAGCATAAATACTAACCTTCAAGTTACTTAGAGTGCATACTTTGATTATGATTTGTTTAGGAAAAGGCAAAATAAAATATTCATAAAAAGCAATTCACAATTATCACAAATTAACTAAAGTGCCTGGTAATTGCATGCTCGACCGAACGGTCATGAATGTCGTTTACTTTACTTAACTCAAATTAAGTAGATTAACATTACTAACTCCTTACCACTTTAGTAGATTTATGGCTAATAAATGTGGCTATTGCAGGAAACCATATATTTTTTTTTTTGAATATTAGAAATTAAAACTAAGAAATCTAAAGGCTTTATTTGTAGCCAAATGATGTGTCAACATGAAAATATAATAATTTATATATATAATTATGGTTTGTAAATGTAAATTTTGTTAACTCTTATTTAAATTAACATCTAAATAACATAAAAGTATACATATTTATACATAAGTTTACGTAACTTCTATTTAAATTACACATTATCAAGTTGCGGCAGAGCAGCTTAAAAATGTCTATTATTTATGCTTTTAGTGTTGGACAACGTAATATTATACATCTATTTCAAACAAAAAAGTTAACAATACTAAACAATTAAGTCCATGTGCCACAAAAGTAGAATTTATTAATATTTAACTAGAACTTGTGTAAAATAAAGTGCATGAAAATATATATCAAATCATTAAGAGCAGAACAATTTGAACATCAATCTAAACACGCTTTACACACTTCTAAAAACGCTCATTGCGTTAGAGACACCATCTTGAGCGATTATGAGATATATTACTATATTTATATTATTATATATTATTATATTGATATTATTATATATAATTATATATATATTCTTATACTATTTAGATATATTAGAGCATATTAAACAAAGTACACTTAAGGAAAGCGCCACTAATGATCACAGGGCTATATCATAAAGAAAAAAACCATATCGAACTAAAAAGCAAAAAAATGCAGTTTATTTTAAAGTACCACATATTAAATTATAGCTAATTTTAAATCTAAATAATTCAAAATTTAGAAATTATTTAAAAATTTGTAATTTAAACACGTTAAATTTCACATTTTTCGTCGATAGTCCACACTACTCTAAAACATTCTATTTCCTTTCCATCACATTTGTATAAAAAAAACTACTTAACCAATTGACATTATAACTAATTTATGTGCCAAATAATATTGACTTTGTGCTACTTTCCTTAGCCTAATATAGTAGTTATATTGACTATATTCCTATCTGTGGAACATAATAATATTTATCATCGCTGTTACACGTAAAAGAACAACAAACCAATACATTGGTGCTGTGGCATTACCAGTTTTATCAGCTCATTATGCTCAAATAGATACTGGCCACTTAACACTTAAATGCACAATTAGGACATTGGCAAAATTCACTTAACTAAACGGTTTTGTAGATGTCAGCTATAAAGGACTTCATTTGCAGGCGTTGTAAAATTTTAACAGCTAATAGCTGAACAACAAAAGCAGCAACATTGAGGAGTGAAATTGATTTTAAATGCAATTGCTTTTGACTTTCCAAACTGTTTGTTTTATCAGTTTAAGTTTTAATTTAATTATCAGATTTCATTTCAAATTGTTATATATTTCATTAAATAATTTTTATTTGAATTTATTAACTTTATTCTCTATGATTCTTCAATCTATACATATATATTAACTAATTTAAATATTTTATTTTATTTTCTCGTTACAGATTGAAACTAATTAAATAACGCTAACTCCAATTAATTAACAGAAATACAACATTATATCTATACTGTAACAAATACATCACTATATATAAAAAATTGAAAAGTATCATGTATCTTATATCCACCAAAATGAACAGACAACGTCTTAAAATCCTTACGCACATAATAGTATTGCTTCATTTTTGTATTAGCACAAGTGCACATGGTATGCGCATGCGTGATGACTGCAAGGAGTTAACAACAAATTCACAATGTCAGTGCACACCCGTTTTATCAGATTTTGAAATACTCTGTCCAGCTACAGAAGTAAATCCAAAGATTACGGTACGTGTCAGACCCACAAATCATGTGCAAATCGAATGCTCACATATCGATGCTAAAGAATATAAAATTCTGCCACGTATGAATATTGGTTATACGCCCATGGTGCAAATAAAACAATGTCCATTACCAGGACACACGCCCATCGCACGTATTTTGGAACATTTGGGCATAACGCAAGTGAATTCTCTCATATTCGAGACAACAGACTTAGGCGCTAATCTCACACGTCAACATTTGAACGGCCTACAGGGTTTGGGTCGTCTACGTTTCAGTTCGAATGGCTTATCACACATGCCAGAGGATATTTTCAATGAGTTTCAAAATTTGACTTGGTTAGACTTACACTCAAATAATGTACAACTTGCACCAAACATTTTTGCACCTTTGGAAAATTTAAATTTTCTTGAGTTGGGACATAATAGTTTACAAGATTTACCTATGGGTATATTTAGAAATCAACGCAAACTTGTACATTTAAATTTGTGGAGTAATCAATTGCGTAATTTGACGAAAGATGTATTCGAAGGCGTCTCTTCGGTAACTGATTTGGATTTAAGTTCGAATGGTATTGAAACTTTTGAACCGGATGTATTTTCATTGTTGACTAATTTGAGTAATATCAATTTAAATGCGAATCGCTTCCATACACTGCCAAAGGAACTTTTTTCTCATAATAAAAATTTAACCCAAGTTCGCATGACCCATAATCGTGTACCACTGGATACACTACCAGATGGTTTATTTGCTAATTTACCAAATCTGAAGGAGTTACGCTTAACGTGCGATTTGTTGACACTGCCTGGTGGACTTTTCGCTAATTCGAGTAATATTGCGAATTTGACCATATCGGGTAACAAGTTGAGCACATTGCCAGCTACATTACTAGCAGATCAAATTAATTTGTTGGACTTGGATTTGAGACGTAATATGTTGGAGTCGCTGCCAGATGAATTATTTGCTAACACCAAAAACTTATATGTATTGAAGCTGTCACATAACAGACTTAAAAGAATTTCAAGGTAATAATAATTGAATTGATTACAAAATTTAATTTATGTATTTAAGTCAAATATCAATTATTTATGTATAATTGATTTAGCCTTATTATCATGATTTAGCCTTATTATTATCAAACCTTCGTTTTAAAACACAAATATTTATATACCTAAATTTCTTTTACAGAGACCTTTTTGCATCACTTGAAAATATAGAATTTCTCTATATGGATAACAATCATTTAACCACAATCGATCCAGATGCCTTTGTACACACATCGAATATGCGCACCATCGATATGGAAAATAACTTACTGAACTTAAGCGAACTAACTGAACGTTTTGAAGATATTGATAAATACGAACTGGGTTCACCGTTTAAATATTTATTCAAGCTCGAAAAACTTAATCTTCGGAATAATTCCATACTTTACATATTCCGAGATTGGAAGTTCCAACTCATCGAACTACAAGAACTCGATCTGAGCTATAATAACATTACTTCACTGAACGACAACGATTTGCAGTATTTATCAAAACAAAGTGTATTCCTCAATTTAACACACAACAACATACATACCATTAACTTTGAAACCATAGATTTCTTGGATATCACCCGAGTCGTACGTATGGACTTGAACAACAATCCTTTGAATTGTGATTGTACGTTGATAAGATTCTTGCAATTGATACGTGGTGAATTGTCAACACAGAAATTTGATAATGTCATTAAATTAAATGTTGATAATTTAATATGTGCTCAACCACAAAATCTAGAGGAAAAATATGTCCATGAAGTACTACCACAACAACTGGTTTGCCCACTTGATCATGAAAATTCCAAACAAAAACGTTGTCCACGTGGTTGCGAATGTTGGGTACGTTCTTATGATTACATTTTAATGGTGAACTGCAGTAATGGTAATCTGACTAAAGTGCCCGCACTGCCACGTTTAGATCAGCTGAAGTTAAAGGGTACAGAGCTCTACATAGAAAATAATCAGTTAATGAAATTACCCTACCGCAGCACTCCTGGCTACTTAAATGTGACCAAGTTATATGCAAGGGGCAATAATCTAACTAAAATCGAAGCACAACATTTGCCTTTAGGTTTATCTTATTTGGATATACGTGATAACCTTTTGCAGAATTTGAATGAGAGCGCTATCACATTCCTAAATAATACACGCACAGTGTATATGAGTTTATCCGGTAATCCCTGGATGTGCGATTGCGAGGCGAAACCGCTTTTGCAGTATACACAATTGAATTATAAGTTAATCACTGATTTGGGAAAAATGACTTGTGAAAATTTCGACGAATCAACAAATTTCCAAGGCCTTTCAGTTTCTGATATATGTCCAACAGAAAAGGAATTGTATATTGCTTTAGCAGTAGTCATTTCACTGATTGGTTTCCTTATTGGTATAACAGCGGCATTCTACTATAAGTACCAACAAGAAATTAAAGTTTGGTTATATGCACACAATATGTGCTTGTGGTTCGTTACAGAAGAAGAATTGGATAAAGATAAAAAATACGATGCCTTTATTTCGTACTCACATAAAGATGAAGAATTTGTAAAAGACTTAGTGGCTCAATTGGAAAATGGTCCAACGCCATTTAGGCTATGCGTTCATGTACGTGATTTTATTGTCGGTGAATGTATACCCGATCAGATAGTACGGTCTGTGGATGATTCAAGACGTACTATAGTTATACTATCACAAAACTTCATTGAATCAGGTTGGGCCCGCATGGAATTCAATTGTGCACATCAATCTGCATTGAACGAAGGCCGTGCACGTGTAATTGTTGTTATCTATGGTGATATTGGTGATATTGAGAGTTTAGATGGCGAATTAAAGGCGTATTTGAAAATGAATACTTATTTGAAAGCAGATGATCCATGGTTCTGGAGCAAATTACGTTACGCTATGCCACATCGTACAAATAAACTTAGTGGCCTAATAAAAACACCGCTCAAAGGCTCTACAGATGATAAACTGGAACTAATCAAACCATCCCCAGTAACACCACCACTAACTACACCACCAGCTGAAGCTACAAAAAATCCATTGGTTGCTCATTTAAACGGTGGTACTCCACAAACTACAATCATTATATCGAACGGTAAGGGAGGCGCACCAACTTATTATACTAACGGCAAAACACAAAATGGACACATCAATGGAGCTTTCATTATCAACACAAATGCTAAACAGAGCGATGTATAGAACAGGGAGAAAGCGGAGATGTTTCAATTTGATGAAGATTTAATATTTCGATGAGACAAGCGCACAAACATTATTGCATATGAACATCTCTATGGACTGAGTGTATAGTTGGAGCCTTATCCAAAGGGCTACTTGTATTTCCTTCTATTACGTTCTATTTTTTTTTTTAATTATTAATCCATATAGAATATATATAAATAAATTAAAGTTATTTGAAACACTTTGACCAATTCTATATATTATCAATAAAATAAAAATTATTGTAAATTCATATAAAGGTGAACAAAAATAAATGTAGAGTATTATTTTCATAATTTCTATAAATTTTTAAAATTTTAAATTTAAATAAACATTTATTTTTTTAAAATATTGCATATTAAAAATTATACGATTTTTTTATATTAACAAGAATGTTAAATTTAATGTTTTAAACTTTTTATTTTTATGGTATGTAAAATAATAGAAATAAATATATAAAAAATTAGTAGAAGAAAATCTCATGTCACATATTTTTATACTCTCGAATAAACATAAGCAAATTTAGTATAAAAATATTTAAGATAAAATGCTAAGCTTTTAAAAAAAATAAAGTTAAAAAATAGCATAATATATGAAATATTTAATATAATATAATATGTGAATCACATGTAAGAAAACCATAAAATAATTATAGATGAAAACTAATATAGTTTCTGTTTACTTTGTAAAAGTTTGTTATTCATATACCTATTTTGCTTTTAATATTTTTTCAAAATTAAATCTCTGATATGAAAAATAAACAGAAATCTGAGTACAGAAATTAAGAAAAGATTTAAATTCAATTTTAGAAATCAATACTAATTTTCTATTTGGAAATTTATAATTTTTAAATGTTATAAAAACTATATAATACGTACTGATTAAACTATATTTTTGATATTAAATAAAATAATTTAGACATATTTCCTTACAAAAAAAAAAACAAAAATTAAGCCCAAATATTAATTATTGCATATTACATTTCAAAGAATATATCTTGTATTTAAAAATTTTAAAAAGAAATAAATTAATTATAGTTTAGTTACTCGCACAATAACACAAACATAATCACAAGGACAGATATATGTAATTGAATGCTGTAAATTTATAAGCTTGAACTCATAACGATCAATAAATCATATGTTTATTAATAAAACACAATATTAGTAATGCAACAATGTGAATCCAAATATTAGTAACTAAATAAAGTAAATAAATAAATAGTCGCTTTCTTTTTTTCGTAACATCAGTAAATTTGTCAACCAAAAATTGTACATAAATGCATATAAAATGTAATAAATAAAATATTCTATCAGATTTGTATTTTACATATAAGAAAAATGAATTTATAAAAAAACATAATCATACAGCTTTACCACTATTATAAATTATTTAAATTGATTTTTTTTATTAAATTGTTAGTATTTTAGCCATCAACAACAAAATACTTAGATATGTTTAGCGCTATTTAGTTAGATTTAGTGTTTAAGTAAACCTAGTAACATAAACACAAACTACATACAATTTACAAGAATAGTATATATACATATATAAATAAAAAACAATTCAATAGTATATATATATATTAAAATTTACATTAAGTTAGTGAATATAAGCTTAGATATATGAGAATATATTAATTAGGTTAATGTATGATAATTATGTACGATTATGGCTAAGCTTTAGTATAAAATTACTATAATTAATATAAATAAAAATTATTTAAAAAAAGTGAACAGTTTTTTAATTATAATAAATTATAAAAAATATAGTTGTTTGGATGAATATTTTCACTCACCTTTAAAAATAGAAATTTTAAAGAAATAATCTACTTTTTAAAACATATTATTTAATAAACAACATAAAGTGAATATAAAAGTTGCAAAATAGTTGTGTATCTGATTTCTATACAAGAAAATAAATTAAATATTTAATTTCTTTTTATATTTCTGAAACAGTTAAAATTGCACAAAACGTAGAGACTTTTATAAAAACTATTTATAATAAATATATAATAATCACCTATGGTAACTATAATATGATCAGCTATGGCGAAAAAATCACCTATGATGTCTACAACATAATAATTTCTGGTGACTATAAAATAATCACCTATTGTCACTATAACATATTCATTTGTGGTGACTTAATATGATCAGCTTTGATGACCATAACATTATCACCTTTGTTGACTATAATATAACAAATATTAGTAAAAACATAAGACTTTGGTGTTTTTATTAACAATATAATTATAGTCAAGCTCTTTGAAGACTCTTTAAAGTGCCATAATATATCCGCACCAATGACATGCTAAGAGACCTTAGAATAGATCCGGTCAAAAAATACCCTACTTCGCACTATCTAATCGTACGCAGATCTTAGATCAGTCATTGAATAATCACGAAGTTTATGAGTAATACACAAATTAGTCAGTGAGATGGGTGGGACCCTGCAGAACCCCCCAGCTGTCAAAGAGTAAAAGTGCCCAGATGCAATAACTCGGAAAAAGTTCAACATAAACAAAACATTTTTATTCAATTATCAGGTAATTTTGTATTTCCACTGAAACAATACTAAATTACTGTAATGAAATTTTATCAAATCCCCAATCTGCTCGTTTCCAAAGCGAGGTGCTTACATATTATCTAGGACTCTGATTTTTCGAGTTTATTTATGTGTAGTATGAACACCAATTATACTAAGCATTTTAATCCGCAAAATAATTATGAAAAACTATCGATTTGAAAGATGATGATTTATAGCAGCAAATATATTCCAGAAACAGAAACAAGCAGTTATAATTGTCTGTTTTTAATATAAGAAGCAGCAACTTAATTTTTATATTACAGTATTTGCATACAATGCAACATATTTGGAAACCACAAAAACAACGTGGAGAAATCGCCATCGTATATATCAGTAATATTTTTGTTACTAATGAGTTGATCCACCACATAACTGTTGGTTCTTCTACGATTAGGAAGATCTTCCTCCTACAGTTATTTGTTAAGATTGTTAACAAGGAATCGTTGACAGTTAAGTCCATGTTTTGAACAACTCCCATTTTAAGTTTTACTACTTGAAAAGATTATGGAATGGTACCGGTTTCGCAGACTTGATTTTATTTTCATTGCAAGAAGGAATAAATACTAAACACAAATATTTGCTCTCACCTCATATGGAACTATTCTTCGATAATAGTCTATTTTAATTTAATTCGTCCTATCCAATTATTAGTTTGCGAGCCCATTATAAAATTGTCATTTGGTAATAACAAGTTTCAGTACCTATATACCTATACAGTGGTATATGCACTCTCTTTAATGTTAAAATGTATTAGTTTTCATTAATAATCATGAAAATCTCTCAAAACAACATGAATATAATACAGTGAAATCGTTTTGTTTTTCAATTTGAAAACGTTTTTAAAAAATCTTAGCTATTATAAATGAAGATAATCTTTATTATTTAATTAATAAAATATTATTAAGTTTAAAATTTGCAAACTTAATAAGATTGCATTTCAAGCAAAAATAAACTTACTGTTCGAATTGAATTATATAAAATAAAATTGATCGCAAAAATAATCTCATTTAATTTAATCAATCTTAATTATTTCAATTTATTTTAAGTAAATCCATTACACCATCGACAGCATGGCCTAAATAAATCAGCTTGGGTAAATCTTCTGCCAAGTAAAAGTAGAACATCATCTCAAATAAAGCAAACACAAAGTAATCCATTTTATGTAACCCTTATATAATTTTAATTCCATTTAAGGTGTTTACCCGAAACTACTTCATTATATCTTTTTTTTATTGAAAACAGGTAAAAAGTTTTGAGCACAAAGTAATGAAATGGATATTTGCCAATAAGATGATTAACTACAACATACAAAAGCATATCATTTTATAATTTAAAAATTCCTTATTGAATTCTAAAAATTATTAAAAGTAGCCAAACATCTGCGAAAGTACTACGACGGGACTCAAAGGAAATGCTACCTACAAGAGGTAAAATAAATAAATAGAAATCGAAGCTTGCAAGTTTAGCAGATAAAACAATTATTTTCAGATACAAAAAAAGTGTTGAAAACAAATTCAGTAAACAATAGAAAAAAATATATAATAAAATGCTGCAGAAATATGTAAATTGATGGCAATGTTATTTCCGATATTGAATGAAAAAATAGCTTTTATATCTCGACGTAGACAATTTACAATCCACTGAGGAGGTGTACAACATAAATGCAAATGTTTTCCAACTAAAAAAGTGTTAAAAATAAAGAAGTACTCGTACTCGTATATCCGCTTTGGAGACGATTTTACTTTATAAGAACTTTTTTTGTGGAATATCAATGAAAAGTTAAAAAAAAAATAAGACGAAAAAATATTTAAAATATATGTATTTTAAAAACTTTGCTCATACAATTCACACTACGAAAAGGTAAATTGCAAAACTTCGTCCTTTTATATTGCATACACAGAAAAAGGAACTCAACAATAAAGTAAGGAAAAAATCCAGGATGCAAATCTATGAATTTTAACTGCGTTGGTAATTACGAACTGATTTACGCGGTATAATCTATACATAAACATGCATTTTTTTATAAGCACACAAATAAGCATTTAAATTTAAGGACTCTAGAAGAATATTATAGATGGCTTACTTTAGATGGCAGAAGAGTTTCATTAGAACTGCAGTAGAAGCCACAGTTTTATGCATAATTCAAAGAGATTATCATCAATAGTCTCAAAGTGTGAACAACCCAATATACTATATACCTCATTTTTAATATATCATTATCAATTATATATATCGTCCTAATGAACCATGATACATTAGGACGAATGACATCCTCAGGGACCTCAAGAGTGATCCCATCAAAAAATACATAAATGATAGAGCCCTGAAATTATTTGCGAAAACTGACAGACTTACCAATACCGCATTATTAAATCTCAGAATGGTTACAGGCTCCTCGGGAAGGTATGCAAATCTAAGGTCAAATATTGCTTAGTCTGATGAAGTGATTAACAATAATCCAGTCAAGGCGTAAAGAGGCGTTTTGAAGATACCTCGAGTTAAGAAAGAGTAAAAGTGCACAAGTGCATTGGCTCAAATAGAAATAAATAAATAATAATATATTATATATAGTACAATCTTTCTCCTTCTCTTCTCTTTAAAGAAGAACTAACATGAACTGTAGTGTACGGTTAAGAATTTACGAAAG